TAATTACAAGAGTATTTGAAGATAAAAGAGGCGCTAGCTCCCATTCTCATTTTTTTCTCCTTGGCTAGCTAGGTGGAAGCCCAGCTGGTTTCATGGTGTGTTCTGGCTCCCTGCAAGAAGGGACACTGGTCCCTCGATGTGTAGGTGTGAGGCTGCTGCTTTCCCAGGGACTTTGTAGCTCACAAGGCTGATGCTGGCTACCCAAGGAAGTAGGGCCTGGATTTGTAGTGCCAACAGCTCCACAATTCCATTCTGTCTGCATTTCATTGAATGTATTTAATTATGTAGGTGCACCCACTGATATTTTTATTTCTGCCCTTGAAAATTAAGTAATTGGTATAATAGAAAGATGAAAACATGCTATAAATATTTCAACATACTGTGACTTAGTTTGGAGAAATAACAGAAAAGCAGTTGTTTAGTATTGTCTTCTCAGATTATGAAGATCCAAATTGTGGATTATTTTTTTAGGTAAGCAAAAAACTTTGAATATGTTAAGCATTCTCTATCATGGGAACCAAGTTGGTATATAATGAAATGATCTTCTGAATTGTGAATCTGTCAGTTTTTGCCCTCATGCCTTCATTTCTCTGTAGAAGAGAATTGCGTTTTTTCTTAAATCAATTATAGTCCCTGCTAAGGTTGTAAATCTTTATTTGGTAAGTTAATGAAACTAATTGCAGTGGTGATTTCCTGCTAAAGACTTGGGGATATACAGTTGAGTTGAAACAGTTCTCATTAGTAGTGCTGAATTATGTCTTTGGATGGTGGAAAGGTAAGGACAAAAATCCAGAGCAACCTCACTCCTAATCCTGCAATGGAGCACAGGCAAGTTTTTCATCACTGGCATTCACTTCCCACTCTGTTCACAGGAATAATATGTCCCTTACTTAAAAGGGATATTGTGAAGATAATTCTATAAAGCAACAGTTGGTGTCCAGATATTGCAGAAACAGGTCATAGATACGTGAGGAGCAAGGTAGTTCAAAAGAATTGTTAACCTTTCAATAGAGCAAAGTTTGCAGTCTGTTTCAGTAACATCAAAGGCAGCTAGAAAAGTGTTGTAAGATGCTTAATTACCTGAAATGTTCAAGAACACTGTTATCCCTTGCAGAAAGCAGAAATAGCTGTATAGGATTGCTCTCATGTATTGGTGACAGCTTGACTCAGGAGGAAAAAGTGTTACATTCTCTATGCAGGACTCTGTCTTCTTCTTTGAGGATTGCTTGCTAGGTCACACCATAATTGGTGTCCAAGTTCTGACAGTTACATTGTGGAGGAAAAAAAATTTAAATTCAGCAATATTTTTAACAAGAGGCTTTCTCTGTATCAGAGATATTTAAGCCAACAGTTCACTGTAATTCTGTGCTGCCTGACAGCTTACAACAGATCCTACAAAGGAACTGGAGCTATTTAGAAAATAATTAATGCAGCCAAGTTTACAGCTGATTAGATATCCCATCGTGAGCTCTACTGTTTTGCAGTGATATATTCTCATGCTACTTGAATAAATCTGTCAATTATTCTTCTGTTCATTGAAAAACTTTCTTAATGCCATCTTCAGTTGCTACTTTACCCCTTTGCTATGAGAATTTTCAGATGAAAACAATGTATTTCACAGTGGAAAAAATTCTTCATCAAAAAGGCTGTGAGAGATAAAGCATTACAAAATACTGCTAAAATTATTATTATGGAATGCATAATATTTTGCTTCCTATTTTTTATCATAGGATTTTAAATATACCAGTTCTACTTTGTATGCTTAAGTGGCTTTTTAATATAGTCATGTCTGCATGGTGCGTTTTGATAACCTCTGCTCATCACTCGCTTCAAGACAGCAAGATCCAGAATTAACATGCTTTGTGAGAAGACAAGGAATGGCCAAAAGCAATACTGATAAAATTCTATCTTTATTGCTGATCAGATGGGCTATTTCTTGCCTATGCTGAAGGTGACTAATCATTTAAACCATCCACTTAACAAGGAATCTTTCATAACATTGTGTACTAAGTAATGCTGTGACATTTACAAAAGTGGTCAAAGAGCCTTCTTGGTTTTAAAAGAGTAATTTAAAAATTGTTTAATGTCTTCCAGTCACTGAAAAAGTAGCAACAAAAAGTATTAAAGCTACCAGTCAATGACAGCTCTTGAACAAGAATATTCTCTATCTTAAGTACCAGCTTCATTCTTAGGTTTGATTCTATTCCTTTCCCCATATCTGTTTTCTGTTTGTGTGCATTTGTTGTTAAAGTGACATGGCATTTCCAGCACTTTGCTCAGTGTGTGCCTTTTCCTTCCCTTTTCCTTCACAACTGCTCCAGACTGATCGCATAAACCCAGATGACATAGATTTAGAAAACGAACCATGGTATAAATTCTTTTCAGAAATGGAGTTTGGACGTCCGGTAAGTGAGGACAGAATTTAATATTTAATAATTAGGAAAAATATTTTTATAATTAGGAATTTACAAATTAGCAGTTCAGCAAACATGTCAGTAAATTAATATACTTCTTTTGAGCAAGGCCAGTAATCTCATGCATATAACTATTACTTTTCAAGTGGACCCTTAACTTGCCAGAGTAGTGGCTTTAATAGCCTTCATACAGACTACATGTAAGATAAAGAGTAGTGTATAAGCACAAGACAAATTGCATGTTAAATGGGGATGTTTACTAGTCTCCATAAATCTTTTGCATTTGGCGGGTTTGTTTTTGAATAATCTTTCAAAGCAGAAACACATGTGCATTTACATTAGGGATGCTGAGTTAGAAATAATGTATTTTTACCTGAAGGAATGTATCTAAATTTAAATGCATGCAGCCATTTGAAAATTGTCTATGGCTTTATTTCCTATGCATAAATGCAGAGCAGGTATTTTGTACCTGAACACAGAGATATAGGTTTGCTGTGTTTCAAGCTGGACACCTATTTTCACAAATAGACAGGTCCAAAAAAAAGGACTCAGGCAAACAGATGCCACCTTAGTCCTCCTACTAGCATTTATGTTTAAAATTATCAACCTAAAATGGTCCGTTTGATTGAAAAAACCTGAACTTCAGAGATTATGCTGTTTTTCAGCTTTGATTACCTAAGCACTTCTGCAAATACCACAGGCTTCATTGGATGTAAGCACCGAAGTTTGTTTATGTATTTCATACAAGGATAAACCAGTAATGTCCTCAAAGCAAGACTGAGAACTAGGTCTCAGTTTCTCCCTGCACAGTGACTTAATTACTAGGTTGGAGATGCACCTGCTGTTGCTTTTGCACACACCCCTCTCTGGCTCCTTGGAGCTCGCATTCTTTTCTGTATGCTCTAACATCTTTAGGAAAAGGGATAACAAATGTATCCAACCCAGAAGAATGTGTAACACGGTGATTAAAGGTCTCTCCAGACAGGTGGAAGATGTAAGTTCAAATCCCCTCAGAAAAAGTAAACCCAAGCATTCTCTCAGTCTGGTTAAGCAATCTCATAGATCCCCAAGAGCTTGAGGGAAAAGCAAAAGTTCCTGCCTACAGGAAGGAAATCCCAAATAGACATGACATTTGAGCTTGAGCATATCAGGATTTAAAACACTCCCAGTCTTATCTTCTCCTGTTAGCTAGCAATTCTCTGGAGACACCCTCAGCTTGCTAATTACTGATATGCAGGGCTGTATGATGAGCCTGAGCACTTGCAGGTGCCTGGAAGGCACTCTGGGAACCAGGTACCAAAGTCCCTTTTTGCAGCTAGGCATAAGCCAAAATCAGAACTCCTAGCTACTTCAGTGAGGGCAGAAGAGAAAGCAAACAGCATACCTTCTTTTAAAATTTAAATTTTTTAATCATAACGTTTAAAAAAATTACCATTGTTATACCACCTGAAATTACCTTTTAAAAGAGTTAAGTACATCTGGGTTTAATATATTCTTCAGCAGTATATAATACACCACATTTTCACCATTTACCTTTTGTATAGCCTTTTAAACTGTTTTGTCATTTCTCCCTCTAGGTGGGCAAACAGTCCAGATACATTTTTCTGATTAACAATATTTTACTAATAGTGATAACCTGAGAATAGTGTCTCCACTAAGATAAAGCACATTAAGATTTCCCCAGCAGAACGTAACCGTGATGCTTCACACTCCTCTGTCGCATCAATATTCAAAACTGCTGGTATTCATAAAACCATTTCAGTTGTAAATTTTACTACTGAAAGTTACTAACATTTTATTAAAATGCTTATAAAATTGTAACACATTCTTCCATTTTACCCATACATGTTGCTTTATAGCTGATGTTGTTAACACTTAGTTTCTAACTGTGTCACCTTCTCCACGTTTCATTCCCTTCTGCCATTGATTCTACTCCATTTCATCTCTACACTTCTGCTTTTATGATGCAGCCACCTAAAAAGCTTTTGGACTATGTTCAAGAGAGTTCTTCTGGTGTTTCCAATGAGGTAAATGAATGATTCTTGTTCAGATTATTCTCTTGGGAAGAAGGGTTGGACTTACCACCATTTATGTCTTAAGTTTGTTAAAACTTAGTGGTTCCTTCTAATAGCTGTGAGATGTTTCTAATTCCAAATCGTTGTATCTTTGTCTTTGTGCCTTTCCAGATTGCCAGTGCATTTGGATGTGCACTGTGGGAACTGTGGGTCCTTATCCCCAAAACTTCTCAGAAATTAACACTCAGAATTACACAACAAATTCCCACTTCTTCAGAGTTGGGCAAGTGCATTGCTTTTAGAAAAAAAATTAATACACCAACACAGTGATATTCTGTTTTTAGAATATCCAACTGCAAATTCTGCATGTCAAATGAAAGCCTCTGTGGCTAAGCTATCATTTCTCCAATTAAGTATTTACAACTAAGGTTGCTAATCAGGAAATACAGCAATTAATAACCCTGTTGTAAATTTATAACTGCAAGAATGACAGTCACTGTCATTACTCCAAATAAAATTAATCAGGATTGGGTGGTGGGCTGTCATTGCCCTACTCTGAGTGGGAGCGATTCAGGCTTTCATTCCTTCTCCCCTCGCTCCCCATTTTTAGTGCTAGGGAAAAAGTCTGTGAATCTTCATATGGTGGCATTACTTCATTCATATTCATGACTCATTCTCCTGTAGTCATTCCAAAAACTTGAACACAATCATGGCCTTAATTTGTTAAGTGTTTGCAAGTTACTCTGGTTTGGTTTTAAACTCTGTAAATCTGGAAAAAAACTCATTATTAAGAAATTTGGGGCAATTTATCTGAGGCAATAGGCTTCTAGTCTTTACTCATGTTTAAGAGTACTCTCTATATCAGATAATATAATTTTCAAACCCTTTTATGTCCAATATGTCTGCATAAAAGAGATATTAAGTGATGCTAGTTTTCTCTTTGCTTAACTTACGAAGACACATTTTATTTTAAAACTTTTAAAATCTTTGAATATGATAACTCATGTTCACGGATTACAGCAAATTAAATATTTATTCAGGGATAGGAATATTCCAAGTAAGTTGCTGAAGTATGAGAACCATCATGCAAATAAGCCTGATTGTTGTCTACAGCTTTTGCCTACTTTTCGTAACTTCATTTTAAATCACCATTAAAGCCTTGATGCATGAAAGAGCTAGATCATTGACTTCATTGTAAATATTTATGTGGGGTTTTGAGCAGAACCAAATCAAAATATTTAACAAAGTCCGGTCTTGGTTGTTTGGAGTGGTTGTCTCCAATATTTATTTTTTGTCAGGCAGTGTTAATCAATATAGGGCAGTGTTGAATATTTTGGTAGATGCCTAATTAGCTTTAGAGATGTGTTCTGTTGGAGGGATCATGGATCAATAAATGCCCCAGAGCTGATAGGACAGTTGCAAACAGTGAAACCCTCTCTCAGCAGTGAAGAAGTTTGGCCAGTATTGTGTGACATAGTCTCGGTCCAGTCTCTAAAGGAAGGCCTTGACACCTGCCTAAGAAACCCCACAGTGACAATTGATCTGAAATGTTCGTATCACCTTATACAACAGTTCTAACAGAGATCACCTTGAGCCTGAGTTTTCGTCCTCTGCTGGTACTGGACTGTGGCGGTGACTGGTTGACAAAGATGAGGTTGATAGTTGTGGTCGGTTTTGAAATAAGACTCTGATGTTTTCCAGAACAGGTTCAGTCTGTGTTTTGTGGGTAGTGTAGGGGAGCACACAGAC